CATTTGTCTCAGTATTGAAAAATAAGGTGTACGTTCCATTATTTCAATATTCTATTAAACTATGAATTCTGTGTGGATTCATAAGCATTTATGTGCCTTTAAAGATGTGCACACATAACTGTGTTCAAGTATAAGATGCTTTCCAAACATAATTATTGTATGCATTAATGGCCAAACTTAAAACACTTAAAAACCTATAAACATTAAACAGATCATGTTGATGACATATCATATTTAGACAATCTAGTTTTGTTCATGTGCAAGAATATATTTTGGAAAGTATGGAAAAATTCATTCATTCATTCAAATATGTGTATCAATATTTACTGACAAAATACAACCTTTATGACCTAAACACATAAACATCACACAAAAACACAGCTTAAGGTTTATTTGATTTAAGAAAGACCTTGACATTTTATTCTACATTCAGACATGAAGAGCAATTATATTCAGTGGTCACACTATTAGACATCATATAAATAACCACAGCAGCACAGTCATACATAATTCAAGAGTTTCTCAGTTTGTGACAACACTAACCTTCACTTGGGTTAATTAAGTATCTGTTTCACATTCATGTTCAAATGCTGTAGGTGACATTTTCCCAATCCTAAAGAAAGAAAAACATTGCACTGTTGTTCTTTAACTTGGAGCTAAATGTCGTCTGAAAAAAAGATCTACTGTTGTTGTTTTGTCACTTTTTTAAAAAAATGTTGAAGCTAAAAGGCCAGAAGAACCATGATTTAGCTGAATATGTGCCTCTATAGCTTTCTCTGTCAATTAAAGGCAGAACATAATTCTCTCTTGTAGCCCATTCTTTGATGAAGTCCATAACTGGTAATGTTTTCAAGCAAATGTCAAGGGTTTTTGTGGGTCAGAATCAGGCCTGAGTAAAAGGAATTCAAGGATTCTTTATTAGTCTCTCTTACTGCTTATTATATTTTTTAATTAAAAAAAATAAACATGTCAGGAAATATAATCCTTTATATATATATATATATGCAGTGGCGGCTCCTGCCAATTCTCTCAGGGGGAGCAAATGTTTGCATGATTAATGAGGATAGGTCACCCATTCAATTGATAAATTAACGGCTAGTTAAAGAAGTAAAGGAAACTGAACTACTATAGTATTAATTAAAAATAAACTGACTGTAACAATCAATCTCTTGCTCTCCTTATGTTTCTACATGCGTGTTAACACAATTCAGCAGCAAATGAAGACTGAAGCCAGGATGTGGTCACATTGCTCACTTATATTACATTGCTCCCTTACATTACACTGCTTACTTACATCACATTGCTCACTTATATTACATTACACCTGTAGTTGTCCATGCGATGTCCGTCACGCTCTCGGGATGGAACAAAATGCAGGGGTAGCAGAATAAAGCGTTAGCTACTTCGCAGCCCGCTAGCCATTTTTTCCGCTCATACCACGTCCTCGAAAATCCCCGTTTATACGACTTCCCGCCCTTTGTTGCTACATGTTTGATGTTTAAATTTGGTCGTGGTGGTCCTAATTCTTTAATTGCCAATTTATCCTTATTGCTACGATGACTGAATGGTATTTCTTTCAATGACACGATAGAATTCATCTGCGCTGAGGTAACATTCGCCTAGATGTCGATCAAGTTCAACTGACAACTGAATTTGAGTTGGCGTAGCTGTCCCCGTCTCTCTTTGTTTTTTTGTTTTCTTTTTCTTTTTTCACATTTGATAAAGATATTAAAGTAGTTTAAAAAAATTTTCTTGTTGTTAAAATTCAAAATAGTTTTTAAATATTATTGGATGTCACTGTTCCCACCAATCCTTGCATAAGTTAAGGTTACGCATGGTGACGAAAGCACGTTAGTGCTAGCCCTCCCGGAACTCATAGAGATTGCATTGCAGTGCCTGCAGTTCGAAAAAAATGATCTTTGTATGGAAGTCTATGAGAGCACTCGGGGCGATTCTCAGTCTGACAGAAATCGCCCAAAAAGGGGCGGTACTACACAAAACGCGACTCGACGCTGATTGGACTATTTAGAGGCAGAACAAACAGTGAAAGCTAGCGTCCCACTGCGGTTGAATGTGAAAGAAAAAAAATCCCTCCCTTTCGCGCTTTGGTGGTGCGTCGCCCAATCGCCCTAATGGAGAAACCGCCCCTGTATATATGTTTATTTTGTTTTGTTTTGTAGACACTATACTATTCTACCGGTATTGTGAATTGTATTATCTTTATCAGGGATTTAGTTTTATTATCAGATGACAGTATTGCATAATTAGTCTGTGTTTACAGAAAATATTATTCTACTTACTTCTATGTTTCAATTTAATGTATATTTAATGCATTTTAATTTATCATAAAATATCATCCTGCTCATCCTGTTATGTGTCCCTATTTAATACAATCAGTGACAACAATTACTGATTATTACTTTCTAACAATAATTGTTGTCACACAACAACAACAACAACAACAATAATAATAATAATAATTATTATTATTAATGTATGGTTTGATATCCAATTATTAAAGTATATTTATAGTTCTCAAAACAGTACCTCCACTTATTAGTATTTGAAAGCAGACCAAATTTAGTCCTTCATCATTCCAAGAAAGTTACACTTCAGTGCAGGTGCAACAACATTTTTAATTAGGAAAAATTAGTTGTCTTTTCATTTTCCTCCTTGACACCAGCAACCAAGAAACAACAGCAAAGCTGCCAAAATCAGCTGAGTTTCTGTGAATGGATAGACAGTGTTAGTTAAGTCATATCCTGTCTCTGTCATATCTGAGTCTCAACACACACACACACACACACACACACACACACACATGTATCTACTTTCCAATAGGAACGTTGTACAGTCCCTTGTGAGAGACTGAGAGTCTCTCATGCACTGAGCTGTTATTATATAAAGCTCCGTCTCTGTCAGTAACTTCACATGATCAGAAAGTCTCCACAGGTAGAAGAGTAGAGATCGTTTTAATTCATTTCAGTCATCATGACTGACCACTTTTAATTGAACAGATAATATCATATCTGTTCAGATAATATGATACTATTTTCTTCCACCTCTGTGTTAACACCTTTTAAAATTTGTAGCAGAGATAATTCTGCCAGCATTCCTCTATCTTTGTCACAAAATACAGTTAAAATATAATTATTATTTGTGTTTGCTAAGACAAGTATCTGTATTAATATTTCTAATACACGAATGAAACATAAACCTGCTTACATACAAACAAACAAACAAAAAATTAGCACTGGACTCAACCACAAGGAGTCACCCTAGCAACCACATAGCAACATGTTAAAATCCCTCAGAGCACCCTAGCAACTGTATAGCAGCACACTGGCAACCACCCACAACACCTTGCCATCATAGTAATGACTTTCACGTAGACAAGCAGCGCTTTGCAAGCACATTTTTTTTCAAAATGTAGTTATGCACATAGTTTTTTTTTGCTAGACTGATTCTCTGATACTCATCAGCTTTGTTAATTTCACGGAAGGGTTAAAATTTATTTTCTGCAGCCATTAACCAAGATTAAACTCTGGGAAACTATACGACAACTCTAATCCGTTAGCAAACGCAGAAGTGATGTAACCTTAGAACGTATAACCGGCATCCACCACTGAATAGAGCCATGATTCATTTCCGCCTCTCAAAGAACCCCTGAGAAATGAAATAAATACATTAAAACTGCTCTGACCTTGTAATAGTGATTGTTATTCCAAGCAGGATGGACAGATATTCAGCTGCTTCTAAAAGTGACAGAGGCAAGTTTGCTGCTCCAGGCTAACAATTTAGTTTGGGTGTCCATGGGGGTGGGATTAGGTGTATCTGTGTGAGTGTGTGTGAGAGAGTGTGTTTGTATTCCTCTGCGCGCAAAGGAGTGTGTGTGTGTAATCGTATTCCGCTCTCTGGTAATTAACTTGACAGCATGAAAAATGGCCGTGATAAACGGTCTCCTTCTATAAAACACAAATATCCCATACTATTTCTCGCCGCAAACTCAATGAGCAAAAGATATGGGGGGTTTGATTGCACTAATCACGTGGAATCATTCTAAAGCTCAGGAACAGAAAAGATGCATCAACTTCTCTTTTATTTTGCGAGGAGAGTAACAATACTCTGCTGTACTCCAGGCCTACTACTCGGATCAAATATGATTCAGTCTTTACTCTCTTGTGTGGAAAGCCCGGTGAATGAGATTGAATTAATTTATATAGCTAAGGCTAAACTATAGGCATTTAACCTTGTGGAATTTCAGAAAAAAAAAATTTTTTTTAAATATACCTTTTCACAGTCTCACTACATTTTGTTAATATTGAAAAATTATACATATAGTTTAAACTAATATCTAATGTAATCACCACCACATTTATTTAATTATTCATTTTTGTTCATATTCATTCATGTTTGTTTATATTTGTGGATTGGATTAATCTTTGTAATGCTCCAAGTCATCCATCGATCGGAGAGTGTTATTTGCTTTTACAAAAACAGGAACAACCTGAAACTTTTTTTTAAAATTTGACCACTATAAAAATCCACTTTAAATAAATTACACATTGTGGAGCTGGAGCCCACCAGGGCAGAGCAGACGGGACCGAAGATCCCAACGGTGGAGCAGATGAGTACCAGGGTGGAGCTGAAGACCACTTCAGCAGAGCTGATGGTGCAGGATCAAAACACAAAGGCAAGGAAACAGAGAAACTAGAAACACAGACAAGCTATACAACATTCAATCACCAGCAAAGTCAGAGAGTGTATGAGCTAATTTTAAAGTCCTTCTAATGTGAGACAGCTGTGAATTGATGATGAGATCTGATGAAAGACAGGTGATTGCAATTGATGATGATGAGGATTATGGGAAATGGAGTCCGGGGTGAGTGGTAAAGGGTACAATCAGCTGGAGATCGTGACATATATATATATACACATGTCCTGTCCCAATGTCCACACCTGCGGTCTTTGCACTTGTCCGCTTGTCTACTTGCACAGGATGGGGTGCCCTCTAGCGGAGCTCATGGGCACTCCAGCTAGAGATAGTTACAGAGTCCCCCCCTCTCCACCACGGCGGAGCAGACATAGCAGAAGACAACCACGGAGGAGCAGTAGAACACCAGGGTGGAGCAGAAGACCACCAGGGCAGAGCAGGCAGAGCTAAAGACCACCAGAGTGGAGCTGGAGCCCACCAGGGCAGAGCAGACGGGACCGAAGATCCCAACGGTGGAGCAGATGAGTACCAGGGTGGAGCTGAAGACCACTTCAGCAGAGCTGATGGTGCAGGATACCACCAAGGCGGATCAGGCAGAACTGGAACATAGAGCACAGAGACATTAACAATGGCCTCAGCAGCTGTAACAGGACTGGCAGACAGTTCAGAAACGGCATCTTTGGCCATAACAGGGCGAGCAGAGAATTCAGGAGCAGCCTTTTTGACCGTGGCTGGAACGTGAGAGAATTCAGAAATGGCCTTCTAAGCCGTAACAGGATAGGCAGAGAATTCACAGACGGCCTCCATAGCCATGACAGGACAGGCAGAGAGTTCACAGACTGCCTCCATAGCCATGACAGGACAGGCAGAGAGTTTATAGATGGCCTCCATAGCCGTGAAAGGACAGGCAGAGAGTTTACAGATGGCCTCCATGACCTTATCAAGACAGACAAAGAGTTAATTAGTGGGCACCCTTGTCTTAAGAGAATCTGAAACAAACACCCCCGCCACCTCTGGAGGTTCTGCAGCGGATGCTGCCACCTCTGGAGGTTCTGCAGCCTCTCTCTGCTCTAAACTCGGGAACAGGAGCCCTCTCTGGGCTAGACTTGAGATCAGATTCGGGGAGTAGAGTGGGCGCCACTACCTCGGGAGGTTCTGCAGCGAAGGCTGCCACCTCTGGCGAAACCACAGTGGTGTGTGCGGCCCAAACACAGAGAATGGCCGTAGCCATAACTGGCAGGACAGAGAGTACATTGTCTATTTCCCAGATTGACGGTGCTGTGCCTGGGGGACTGGGGTGAATAGCGGCCGGCAAGCTTGGGAGTGTTGAAACTGCATGGCTCATGAGCGTAGAGTCTGCATAGCTTGTGAGCATAGAGACCTTTGGAATGCCAGCAGCTCACACCGACACGAACTGAGGGTCCTCCACGCTGGATGCCAGCCTCGAACGCCTTGGGACTGACATGGTGTCTTCAAATGCAACATTCACGATGCTCTTGAACACTGGAGTGGCATCTGTGATGGCTAAAGACTGTGGCCTGACATCCCTAAAGGCAGGAGGCTCTGGCATGGCGGCCATAATGTCAGCAGGCTCCGGCTTGGCAGACTTGACGTCAGCAGGCTCTGGCTTGGCAGACTTGACGTCAGCAGGCTCTGGCTTGGCAGACTTGACGTCAGCAGGCTCTGGCTTGGCAGACTAGACGTCAGCAGATTCTGGCTTGGCAGGCTAGACGTGAGCAGGCTCTGGACGATCAGTTGAGACGTATAGAGTCTCTGGAAGATCAGTTGAGATGTGACAAGGCTCTGGATGATTAGCTGTGACATGACAAGGCTCTGGATGATCAGCTGTGACGTGACGAGGCTCTGGATGATCAGCTGTGACGTGACGAGGCTCTGGATGATCAGATGTGATGACTCTGCTTCTCCCATGGTAAAAGGGGAACCAACTAACAAGAGTGCAACATCCATGATGTCCCTCAAACTACCATTAAAGTCCCCTCCTGGTAACAATGATTTTATAGGCTCATTGAGTCCAAAACGGAATAAATCCTTAAACAAAGTCTCATCATAAAATGGCACCCGGTACGAAAACTCACAGAATAGGGGAACATATTCCTCAATAGACAGGTCCTTTTGCCGGAGGTGAAGTATCTGATCGACTGGGTCCACAATTAATCTGTAACACTCGCAAAGCCACTGGATCCGGGTATGGCTGGTGATTCTGTAACGAGGGAGGCGTGACAACAAAGTGGGGATCCAAATGCAAGGCTTTAATAATTGCGTAGTAAAACAGGCGCGGTCAACAAAAGCAAACAACGATGGCAGTGGCAAGGCAAAAGAGTAATCCAGATAATTAGGCAATGGTCAGGGCAGGCAGAAAAACAATCATAAATGAGAAAACAGTCCAGGGATCAAAACACAAAAGCAAGTAAACAGAGAAACTAGAAACACGGTAAGCAACTAGTCAATAATGGGAATTGTTCCCTATACGAAAGTGTTACCAATGGTGACCATGTAGAACCATAAGAGGAACACCATTCACCTCAGATTTTAGATATGTTACTCCACTCATATATTTGCTATGAATGGGAATTTACTACAATGGCAAAAGGTGTCTGGAATCACTTTATGCTTTTCTGAGGTCAAAAAGTCTCGTGTGGGGGGCCATGGAGTATTTCCTTATAGCTTGATTGGAAAATGCATAAACTATTCTGTACACAAGCAATAATACCTTGAATTTTCTGTTGTTTACACATATCAAATGTCTCATATTACATATCAAGCATACATAGCAGCTCCATTAAGACTGATGTCAACTTGGTAACAAGTTGTTGGCTTAGGTTCAAAATTGCCTAAAAATTTATTCTTTATTTACTCTTCATTTAGACTATCACGATTATATATTTTTGTTTGATATTTTTAGAATTGATTTTCATATTTTTATTCTATGTCACTATGAAAGCTATACTTAAAAAGCATTTGATAAACAGCAAATGCATGATAAAGACATGCCAACATGTTTCCAAGAAAGCTGAAATCTGTTAGCATCAATAAATGAGACTACCATGGAAAAATGGAAAATTTTAAACCTACTAAAATTAAATTAATATACAAAATCCTGCAAGATGCAGTAGCTGCTCTAATATTGTGATGACTATTTACATGTTACAAAAAAAAAAAAAATGCTAATGTCAATAGAAATACAATAATGTTGTAAATGGGATTAGCCCTTCATGGAGAGAGTTGAAATTTGATTTGAAATTTGAGAACTTGCTCTGTCGCTAATGCCAGAGCCACGATGGAAAGAGCTAAATGTAATAAACCTGCACAAAGTTTTAAAATGCATATCGCGCAGATAAGGAACGCAGTACTGTACATTTTTCTAAAGTAATTAGGAGATATTTTTTCATTTCTGTCATTAGTCAAACTGACAGGAGTTCCCCTTAGGCCAGGCTCCCTTGTGCTCGCTGCCACACACCTCTCTCAAACACACTACCGTAATGAATGTTTACAACACACAGGTAATGGGGTAAATATTGGAGTCATCAATTATTGAGGTTGAGGGACAGGCAATCAAATCCCATGATTATTGTGTCTTTAGAACGCAGCTCCGCATGTAGGCCGCTGTCTGGCGGGCAGAGATCGCTAGCATTGTTTCTATGAGATGGTAGTGTTAATGTTTGTGTTAGTGAAACAAAAGGGTGAAACGATTAACTGACATTGTTAAGCTGAGCGATACCTCTTAAAAAGACAACTATGATATTGCAGCACTGTTATACAGCAGCAATAAGTCTTTGTGATGACTAAAGTTAAGAGGACACAAACAAATGAACAACAAATCGGGTCACGTGTTTTTACATAAGTAAACATGCCGTAAATGTAATTCCTAAAACCTCTTGATTAATTATTTTTCACATCATTATGGAAGAATCCTAAAACCAGCAAGCTAAGAGAGTGGGCCACACACATCGACAGGGAGTGTAGAAGTGTGTGTGTGTGTGTGGAGACATCATTTATACGGAGTTTAAAAACAACTGAATTTTTAGAGGCAGGCTTTAACTTTTGTGCTGATGCCTGCTGGTTTGTTTTGACAGAGCTCTCTTGTTCTGTTTTCAAGTGTCACATTTTGATTTTAACAATGAAATTTCAATATAAATGAAAGCCTAAATGAATTCTGAAAGGTCCGTGAGACATTTGAAAAGCTGTACCCCTGTGAATTGCAGGTCAGCGAATTTGGTTTGACAAGAATAAAGTACACAAGCAAAGGTCTTGCACCCACAGCTTGATATGTACAGCCTTTAATAGCTGCCATTTTGTAGCAAAAAGGCTATTCAACTGACTTTTTCAACATTTGAAAAGGCTATTTGAAAGACTTTTGGGAGTTCTTGGCACCATCTTTGAAAGCTAATTTAAGATCGAATTCTAGGAAAAGACTGAATGTACTCGTGGGCCTCCAGGAATAGCATTAGCCTGTGCATTCATACACACCAAAATACATCAATTCACAGTGAAAAGATCACAAATTTCATCTGAAAATCAAAGAACCATTCACACTTCACTGCCAGCTACAGACAACCTTTCATCATGATCTGGTTAACAAATGCACATTTCATGTTCTTGCTGACAGACTGGCTCACATATTAACAGTAAATTCAAGTGAAGGATTCACCACTGAGCGGTTGGCATTGTTGCTCTAGAATGGCACAAATGGGATGCTATGGAAGAGCAAATGGAATTGAGCTCTAATTTGTGAAGGGCACTTAGTGCTTGCGCTAATGAGTCCACATTAGAAGCTAGCTGTGCAGCTGGGTTCAGCCTGCAGGAGTGCAGATATGCCCAGAGCTGGAGACGAACCAACTTAGACTGCTCACCCCAAAATATTCAACATCACCCATCCATCAGTTCTCTGCTGCGATAAAAATATGACCTGACATATTACCACAATAGCAGACCTGAAAAGATAATTGATATGAAAACTATCTTCATCTACATTTTAGATTAACAGCATCAAAACTCAACTCCAGTGTAAAAATATACATATTCCTCAAACTTCCTCCCAGTGTTAATATAATTCTCATTTTTGACCTTTCAGCATTTGCCAAAATGTTTTGAATTCAGTTAATTTCAAGTTTCTGCAATAAAAATTGACATCTTGAAATCCCTATTCTGTAGAGACAACTTAAAGGCATAGTTCATCCAGAAATGAAAATGAGCTGTTAATTTATTCACCCTTGGGCCTTCCAAGATGTAACTTTTTTTTTTTTCTTGAGAAGAACAGTAAAGAAGAGTTTTAGTTAAAACCGTGGTCCTTAATGATTGATAAAATGCAAGCCAGCGGCTGCCCGTTTTTGAGACTTGAGAAAAAAATAAATAAAATAAAAACACATTAAGGGCCACACAATTCATATCCGTGGCTCCGGATGACAAACTCTGGTGTAATTTAGAGAAATGATCGGTCCATGCAAGAAACACCAATGAAATTAAGATATCAGTTTTGTAAATTAGTCAATTAGTGTTTGAATTTTGTCAGACCTCTTGCAGGGTCTCCTTAACACTTCACCATATGTAAAATCGGAAGCATAGGACTAATTCCTCGGACCCAGGCCATGGGGAACCCCACAAGGATGGTACATTTTGTACAAAAACTTTTGAGCCTCCCTTAAGTGAGATTGAAAGCTCTTATAAACTATTTTAAATGTCATTCTAGGAACAATAATCAAATAACTGGGAAAGTTTCAGACCATCGAGAAACTGTGCAAGCCAGTCCATCCCACTTCTCACCCAAAGAGCAGACTGTAAGATACTTCAAGGACTCTCAAAGAACCCCAGGGAGTCATCAAGACAATCACAGGCAGCTTTGGCAATAGTCAATGTGAATGTGCACCCATGTACCCTTAGAAAGAGACTTAACAAATGTGGGAGGTCAGCAAGAAAACCATTTTGAAGGAAGTTGGAAGTTGTTAGGCCAAAGTTCCAAACACTGCATCTAACTTCTTACCAACTGTGAAAAATACTGAGGGCTGTTTGTGGTTTGGGGGGTGTTTCAGGACCCAGCAAATCTGACTTGTCAACTATGAAAAACAAGAAAAATATAATATATGTTTTGTACTTTCATTTAAACCGTTTGTTACAATTATGTGGGAAAATAAAGTCAAATAATATAATGCAAAGATGATCTGTTGTGCCATTTTATTTATGAACACTTCATAAAACGTCACGTGGACACTGGGATGTGTTTAGACATGCAATGGAAAATCAGTTTCAAATGGCAAAACTGATGGAAAGTGACGTAAAAAGATTATTCTATGTCAGGGCAATAGTAATGTCAACATTTTTGATTTATTTAATTTAATGAAACATAACACACATCCCATTTTTTTCTCCCATATGGGAGTTGAGTTGGAAAGTGCATGAGAGTAAGTAAAAGACCATTTTTTATCTCTTTTAATTGCAAAATTGAGTCAAACCATTTCAATTATTTATAAAAACATCACATTATAGCATTAATACTTTTATGTGTGTTTCTTTTATTAAAATCCGTTTTATAGCCTGAAATTGTCTGAAATTTAAGGGACACGTTGACCGCCGTATTTTGTGAATGACCCATTTGCAAGAGCTAAATAAAACTGAATAGCTGATAGGCTTAACAAAAGATTTGATCCTCCAGAATTAGTTCAAGACAGCATTTGTGGCCTCTACTGCAGTCAATATTCTGAATGCACTACTGCCTACAACCCACAATCACCTTATACTGAACACCCCAGAGCCCAATATAACCTGGTGTGTACTGTAATAAATAGTGCATCTTCACCTGAGAAGTTTCTTAAGGTCATCGCTCAACGTCAGCTGCCTCAGCCAATACCAGGTCATCTTGCTCCAACTTTATGGCACAGATGAAAGCCCTAACATTGTTCAGAAGAAACCCGAACTAGCAGAGATATAATCTATGATAGCACAGAGATTTGACTTTCCTGTCATAGTAACCAGGCTTCTCGTAGAACCAAGGATGTATGAGAAGCTTTAAGAGATCTGTTAAAAAATGTTCAGGTGAAATTCTGTGAAAACTGAAATCTGTATTAATACCATTACCCTAGAGAAGTTATTTCCAGCTCTTGAGAACTCTCAACAATACACATTTTGGATGTCACCCTTATCTGACACACCATTTCAGACCTGGGAGTCTTTACTAATGAACTGATGAGTTGACACCTGGTGTATTTGATTAGGGATACATACAAAATGTGCAGTGTTGGGGTTACTCCAGGAACGGGGTTGGAAATAAGTGCCCTGGAGAAGTCATTTTATGTCTATATCCAGGGTGTCCAATCCTGCTCCTGGCAAGCCACCTTTGTGCAGAGTTCAGCTGCAACCCTAATTAAACACAGCTGAACCAGTTATCAGAGTCTACAGGAGAAGCAGGTGTGTTGGAGCAGATTGGAGCTAAACTCTACAGGAAGGTGGCCCTCCAGGAGCAAGATTGGATGCCGTTGGTCTATATGGACTCCAGAAAATAATAGTAATCAATGCTAACTTATTTTCCTTTTTATTCCTTATTAGAGGGACAGACCCTCCAGTGGTAACCTGGCATAATAGTGAAAAAGCCACTAGACTTCAACCACTAGGCTTCACAACTAGCTACAATGCTGAAGCATTGTACTAGTAGGGACAGAACTTTACTCTTGGACCTCAGGGACTAATTTGGAGAAAATACACGACCTGAGTAAAGAACCAAATGAGACCATGGTGTCTTGTGATAGGGCATTGGATGGTACTCATGAAGTGCTGTTGTTCAGTGGATCTCAACTGGCCCACGGTTTTTCATTAGAAATCAAATAGCAAAATGGTTTATGTAAACTTTGTTATTCTACATAAATAAAAAAGTCCAACTAAATTGTACATAGGCCCAACACATATGAAAACAATTTTTTGACAGGCTAAAATAGGACAGCTGATAATTTTGGTTTCTAAATGTCTTTAATTTTAGTGTGCTTTCAGAAGACAAGCATTGACAGCACAAACAATGCCTCATATTTACCATTTTATAATGTAGTATTGTTTTATTTTAACATGCACAAAGAACTGTTTACAAAGCACCTCATCTACAATTACAATGACAAGTATTACTTGCAAATGGCAAAATGAACCACACAACAAATTGGCTTTCCTGTCTTGCATTATATTCTTAAGGCAAAACTGATTTCTGGACAACGAAGTTTACAGGAAACCTTCACCCAGAACTGCTGTTTGTTTCATATTATTTGCTTGAACACAGTCTAGAACACGTTAGAATGAGACATCACAAAATGGAAAAAATGCAGACCAGCTTAGACTCCAATGAAATGGAAGACAGAGACGAAAGCCTGCAGATATCCCAAACTGGGACCTTACTAAAATGATTAAAAAGTCCAACAGAGAAGCCATCAACCAATCACAGACACCCTGAAAAAAAATGAAAAAAAGTCAACAATGCAGTTAATGTCTTGATTTAAACATGGGGAAAATGGCACAGCTGTTTTACAAGGTGATCGCTCAACACAGAAAAGGCAGCCCCTGTGGGCAGGACTCGATCATGTACTTGCATCTAAAGGACAAGAATCAGTCAATAAAGGACAGTGATGTGAAGATTTTGGACAGGGAGGACAGATGGTTTGAGAGAAGAGTGAAAGAGGCCATCTTTGTGAAACTGGAACAGCCATCTCTGCGACAAGGCCTGTCAGCTACTTACAATGCTGTCCTTTCATCTTTAGCCCAGCAGTTTCGCCCCAATTCACACAGCGATTGCAATTCGCACCATCTGGGAGGAAACTCCAACAGCGAATCAAATCTTACCACAGTGTGCGATCCAGTTAAATGTCAGGGAATCTCCTCAAACTGATGAATCCACTTGTACGAGTGGTGAAACATCTTGAACATACAGTACAGAAGAATGTGTCCTTCCAGACGTGCAAAAATACATTTTAGAAGACATTCTAAATATATGTGCCTGAGTCTTTCTTGAAACTCTCTTTTTAACTCCGTTTCTGTGGGTTCAGAACTGCAGGAAAACTTTTCATACTTGTGTGTTCTAATGGAGAAAGAATGATTGAGTTCAGAACTGATAGAAAAAAAAAATGATGAGAAGGATGGATTTTACAATTATGCATTTGGTAGATGGATTTATACAAAGAAACTTACATTTGGGCAGTACATTTTATCAGCATCTGTGTTCCCTGGGAATTTGCATTGTTAGTGCCACGCAAGCAATTGTGCTACAGGAGGATGATTGAAATGATTGTGAGAGAGATGCTACTTTGAAACTATACTTTTAAAAGCTATATGCTATTACAAATTTAAACTAATTAAACTACCATCAAGCTACCCTTTTAGCTATAGCTGTGTAGCTAACTGTATAATGAACAGCAATGTTGAACTAAATATTTGAAGTATGCAGTGCTGCTCCTCACATTACACAAAGTATGCGAGTTGTGTAGGGCCTCCAAACCACCAGGGGGCCCCCTTGCTCTCAAAGATGATTTAATGACTAGGGCTGTGCGATTGATAGAATTTTAGTTTAGTTTTTGACTTTGGCTTCAAACAATTATGAAAACACAATTCTGCATTCCTTTTCCTTAAAGTAGTGCATTGTTGCCCTTTCTACGTAACATCCAAATCATTCAAATAATGTAATGTGACTGTCGTCTCCTGTAGGATGTGCTTAATACTGAAAAAATAATTAAAGAGGCTTTCTGTGCAAACAATCCAAAATGGAGTGAAGCACAGACAAGTATAGGCTACTTTTGGCTTTGGACATGCACTTAAAGACAAATACACAAACAATAGGTCAGAATGCAGAAAATAGTCAGTTATGTCTTAAGTGAACATAAACAGTTTAGAAAGTAAATGAATGCTCGTCAGAATATTACATCTGTGCATTCAGTCTTAAAGTGACAGCAGCCTAATAAAACTGCTGCTGTCGCATTCAATTTTAATCAAACAACAAAAGTTAATAACTTTTAATAAGAATCAATGTAGATTAACTTCATACAGTGAAGACTATGCAGTTTTATTTTTAAATTTGATTCTTTAGTTTCTTTATAGTAGGCTACATTTTATTTCATTTGTATCTTTTTCTATTGTTGTCCTAGAGTCCTATTGTTTGTAATTTTCTTATTTTTTTACTGTATGTTTGTTGACAGTGAAACTGCTCTGAAAGAACAGATTAAGCGCTTGGAGGTCATTTTGGGGTTTTTATGAACACACCGACAGTGGCCCCCTGACAAATTTTTGCTTGGGGCCCCCAGAAATCTAGGACTGGCACTGATACGTACAACACAGTGACTTCTAGGAAGGGGAGATTTAATTGATTCACTAAAATGAATCTGAATTTGTAATCTGCAAAATTACTGTAGACAAATGGAGAGATGATTATTATTTGACTAGTGTCGCGGTTTGTTCAGTTGTTACCGCAATACAGTGTGACATGTACAATGCTACAATTTGGACACATTTTTTTTAAAATAATTGCATCACTACTCATGTAATTAGTATCACCGAATGGATGGATGTGATAGGACGATCAATGACAGTGGTTACCAGTGGTCCTTCTCTCTTTCCTCATGTTTGTTTTTTTATTCCTGAATAGTCAGCAAATGCAATGGAACATTTTAATTAACCATTAAACAGCTTCTACTGTAACAGCTGGAGAGTTAAAGGCGGTCACACCATAATTTACAGAGTGATTTACACACAGATGCCGAATATTTTACACTTCACAGCTGGACCTGATGTGGCAAACATTTTTCCATTCCAATTGGAAATGAAAATATGAGTCACAATGAATTAAATAAGTTTATTTGGCAGTTTTGATTGTGAACGCAATTAATACTCAAACCCACTCGCCCCCACACACACACACACACACACACACACACACACACACACGCTCTAGTTTTTGACACATCTCAGCTGACAGTTGAGTTGAAACCGCACCAGCGAAAGCGGTAGCGGGACAGACTCCAGCGCTCTTGGGCACTGACACGTCTAATACGTTTATCGTTAATTGCAGCCTTTAGGGACGTTTACTCTTGAATTAATTAATCCATGCTAGGTCTCTGTAGATATAAGATTATTCTATGAAGAGTAATATTTCACATCATTGGCCGCATTTCATATGCAATAAATTCAGCATCAACACAATGCAGTGCTGTATATGGATGAATACAATTTTTTATTCACATTTTTAAGGAAGTGCACTGAAAAAAGTCCTCCTTAAACCTCATAAGGATGATCTCATGTTTATAAGCATAACGTGTTACAGGGCCATTGCATCGTTCAGCATTGTGATGAAATTCGTCTTGCAAGGGAAAATTCAGCCCCGCCAGAAATTCCCACGCAAACCAACAACAGCTATAATAAAACCCCACGGCCCTCAGTAGACAGTCAATTATCATTTCAGCAGACAAAGAGAAGTTTCTCTGAATAATTCAACTAATGAACGTGAGCCAAGTCTGACGAATAGCCGTCAAACTGGCTGCTTGTGATACCGTGCGTCCTGTGGCATCTGTTTCACTTCACAAGACTTTCACGCCAATGCTACTTGCTAATGAAAGACGGAACAATTACTGGCTCGTGACTTAGATTGAACTATGTTGAAGCATTACAAAACAGAAACTTCAACTGATAGTTTCACTTGATATTCATCAATATAAAGAACACATATTTAAAAATGTGCTTAGAACCTCTGGTCATACGGTTTGTGATTTTGTGTGTTTTAAAGATCTCAGAGGTGGTGTCCAAATGTCCAAACCTGTTTTATGGGACCCGCTTTCGTAACACAGCCTGTATAAAATGTCCTCTTACTAAAAATTGTAGAAATACTGATTTAGCTATGGACAAAATTCGGATCCAAACAAGTGATGCAATACATTTTAGGATCATTCACAAATGTGAGTTCATGTTTTTTGGTACAGCGTTTGGTTTGTACACAATCAATCAGTTAAAATACTGATTATTCAGTTAAAATACTTTCACCTTTCTCAGTTTCGAAATGTATCCCTATGTGCAGAGATTTGTAAGGCATACTATAAGTTCTCAACCCTGCTAATAATAAATGGCAAGTTCTGTCATGAAACTCTAGATGGCTCAGGCTGATGGGTCATTAACACAAATAGATGATATTCACAGCGTTAAACTACTTG